ACGCAGTTTTTTGACAAAAAGGAAAATATTTCATTAAGTTGTGCATACAAAATATATGTAGTTTTCTTTATTTTGAGCATTACTCATATTTTTAAAATATATTAATAAATGTATTTATAAGCACATGTAGTGTTTTTTTTTACTTTTTAATTTGCTAAAATATCTTACGTGACAGAAAAAAATGGTTTGCAGATTTGGAATCAGCGCATCAAAATTATATAAAATTACTTGTCAAATTTAAAACATCTTTCAAAAAGTTTTTTTTGTAGACCTGTGTTATTAGTCAAATAAACAATAATATTTAAAATTCCATTTGAATTTTTGCTCCCCATTTTATACAAATTAACTGTAACTGATAATACAGGCAAATATATTCTAAACAAAGTAAGTAATTAAAAAGATTATCTAAAACTCCAGTGCAGTTGACCGTGCCTTTTATTACAATGAAAGATTTTCTGCAAATTCCTTTAATCGTTGAGAGGTGTAAGTTGGTTGAATGTACTGTAAATGTCTTTTCCTACTCTAATCCAAATAATATTCATTATCGGAACCTACAATACATAATATACAAAAATGTCAAAAATTGATCTATTTACAATAAATATTTAAGAAATATAAGTCACAATTAATATAAACTTTGATTTTGTACCGAAATTTATTCTTCAAATACACTAAAGTGTAGTGGCCCTTGAATTTCGTGAATTGTATAAACGTTAACAAATAACACCTAGAAATAAATTTAGACACCTGCACTAAATGATATTTGCATCACAGTAAGGACTCTATACAGTTAATTCACAATGTGACTAATCACACATTTGTTTTTACAGGATTATCCAAAAATATGGAATTTGAAAACAACTGACTGATAAAATATATTACATTTATATTGGACAAACAGGTAACATGTAAAAAATTAGTTTACAAACACACAGAACTTTAAATATTCATTTACAGCACTTTTGTATAATCTATTTAGTGTATTTTCTGCGCAGCTGTTATTTACTGTATTTTTTTATATTAAATTTTATATATAGTAGTTGATTTGTTTAGATGTTTAATGTCAGCGACATGCTAAAATGTTCCCTTCACTGTTTCAAGCATATCTATATTTATGGTGGATGGGGCCATTAATAAAGCGAAACAGAAGCTATAAACCGCTTAGTTAAACTTTACAGCTACTCTACCAATAGTCTCAAATATGAATTTAAAACAAAAATTTCTCACTATAAAATGAATACAAATGCCCAAATCAGTTAACAAACATCTTCCATATTTTTGATATACCTGTAAACTATTATTTTTTGATTCACTGATATTTTTTCTTCTATAGAAAGCAAATATATACAAATATAAAGAAGTAAAATCATTACAATTAACATTATAGAACATACAAAATAAAACTGCTGCATCTAATATTAAATTAAGAAAACTTCTATTACTAAGTTAGAAAAGTTGATCAATGATTTAAATATATGAAACCCTAATAAAATTGTCAAAGGAGGCAATCTATGGTTCTAAAGAGGTTTTAATTCATTATTGTTTTCCCATAAAGATGTATTTATTATAGAATAGAATAGAAATATGGAGTATTGTCGCTGAAAATTGTACAATTTTATGGGCAAAGCTTGCAAAAATTCAGAATATAATAATAATTACAATTTCGGTAAATAATGCTTGCTGGAAAAACATGTATGTGTTTACGAATTAAGCAATATATAATAAGCAAACAATTACGTTTCTAAGATATATCAAGAGGGAAGTGTTAAAATCCTGTGATTTTTGAAGTAGCTTCTGCAATGTGTTGTTCTTCTAAGGCCAAATAGATACTGTCTTGCTCTTTTTTGTAATTTAAAAATAACATCAGATAGGGCAGCTGTACTAGAACCGCTAAAAGGAAAACTACATATATCAAAGATGAGACTTGAACAAAGAAAAATAAGTTATTTTGGAAGACGCTAAATTGATTTCCTTTGAAACAGATCTTATTGTATAGCAGGCTGAGGCTAGTTTCTTACTTAACAAATCGATATGAAGGGACAAAGAAATTTTGGAGAATCAAGGATTTTGTTGTTATTAAGAAGCAAGAATTGAAGAGCTCCTTTATTAAAACTGGACCAGATTTTTATTTTAAGTATATCAGAATTTATAGTTGCAATACTGGAGTTTCTCTAGGTGATACTGTTTTCATCAGCAAAAAGACAAATTTTTCCATTGATTTTTAAATTAGTGATGTCATTTATAAAAATAAGAAAAAAAAGAGAGGACCTAATACTGAACCTTGTGGTACTCCACATACAATGCTTTTGTGAGTAGAGTCAGTATCATTTGTTCTAACTACATGTTTCCTATTTCCCAGGTAAGACGAACGAAATCAATGAAATACCTTGAATTTCTTAAAAATGTAGTTTTTTTATCAAAATGTGATTTACAGAATCAAAAGTACATTTGTACATCAAAAGTACATACACTGGTACATTTATTAGATACAAAGCTGTTTTCAATGAGAAAGGACATAAGTTGAGCTTTTATAAGTCTCCCAATAATTTTGTATAATACCGGTAGTATGGCAAAAGGAATCATTAATTAATGAGATCACGACTTCCAACACATTTTTGGGAGATTTAAGAAAATTTTTATGGATAGTCCATCAGTACTACATGAATATTTGCTTTTGATACTACTATTGATTCTTTCTTTCGTAACTAAAATGAATGAATGCATAAAGATTCGCCACGATAACCAAATCCTTTGTATTGAACCAATCTACATAAACCATAGAGCAGAAAGTTTCATTCATTATTGTATTGGGATAGTGTTCAGAGTAAGTGTTAAAAACTTTGATTTGATTTGGTCACCTTTTAAAAAATATACACATGTTACTAAGGGTTTGTTTCAAGTTTTGAAATTTACAGTTGTTTATTAAATAAAAATATGGATAACCCTTGACTTGCAAAGTCTGTAATACTGTTTTATATACACATTGTAACAATAAAAGCTAAGAGAGATCTTTTAATTTGCAGTTTCTCTTCCTCTTTAATCAATAGTTTGGATTTACTTGTTTCATTATCAAGTTTTTGCCTCTATAATTAAAGAGATAAGAAAAAATGTAAAATAAAGAAGAAATATGGTTTATAATTTTCAAAATGCAACAGTTTCTATCTTGTATTAATTACAACTACACTCGGTGCAATTTAAAAGCATGATTGACGAAAATATTTAGGGCACTGTATATTCTATTTTACTACTATTACCTAATCCAATGAAATGTAATCGAAAAACATCATTAAAAATTCTAAAAAAACAGCACACAACAAAATTTAAAATGGATATAAAAACAATTAATGAAATATCTTAGGTTTACAAAGTCATATTAGCTGGTTGTAGGCATAGTTTTAAAAACATTCAGTTTAGACGAAAATGGCAATAGGAAAATGAGATTTTTTTATTTAAGAAATTGTAATGAGGCCATATATTTGTACCTTAGTGGTAAAGGATCGTTGGGGCATATCTAAGTTGCTGTAGTTTTAGGAAAAAGAAGTTTTAAATTTTTATAATATACACCAGATGAATAATTTTGGTAAAATTTAATGAATTTACACATCTACATGAACTGAATATAAAATAAAAACATTTTTCTTTCACTTTGACTAGAGAATATATATAAGAATATTATTAAACCCTCCCAATATGTAATTATTTGAAATATACAAAAAATTAAAGTTCAACTACTACAAATCATGTATAAAAAGAAAAATTATAACTAGGGCAAAACACTTTTAACACTAGAAGTTTAACATACAAGAATGAGGGAATTACGATTGAAATTGCTGTCAATAATTTAAAAAATTACTTGGAGACCCATGGTAGAATATGGTTCTACAATTTTCTATAATTGTAAAGGTCCTGCTAAAATTAAATATAAAAGTGGGTGAAACAGACAGCCTTCGACAAATTACTAGAATGCATCATTCTGATAACTTACTTCATATCCATCAAATAGAACACTTTAGAATAAAATTGGAATAGAATCTATAAATGAGAGACTGAATAATTTGTTTAAAACTATTAAAGAAACATGCAATTGATTGAGCCTCTAGTTTTTAAGATGTCTGAAAACCCTCACCGTAGATATCTAGAGAGAACTTTATTTGAAGAAATGCTCTACATATCAAGACAATAAACAACTTTATTTTAGTGTCTTTTCTTTCATGATTGTAATTTAATAATTTGACAATATTATAATTACCATTTTTTTTAAAGAACCTCGAATTATATTTTCACTAAAACTACAAAAACAGACCTGATCATTTACCTCTAAGGTACACATATATATTCCATCCTATCATCTAAATATATTATATAGTAAACAAAAATTGCTTCATATATAAACTATGCAGCTTATAGGTTGATTCCAAGAACATCCAGTTACATCTAAAACCTTCAAAATCTTGATAGTAGATATAATCTTGACATATAACAGCAAAAAGAGTTATACAACCAAACAAAATGATAAAACGTTTTTGGTGCTGAAGAAGTAATATTGAATTTCAATTTTTTGAATGTGTTGTTCAAAAATGATTTTTTTTATCAACAGGAAAATGCTATTCAATACAGCATTATACTTCTCGACCCCAATGTGTCAATCAACAAAAACTAAATGACCTTGTAGAGACCTGAAGAGCCAGGTTTCTAAATTAGAGAATAGAACATAGGGGGAATGTTACAAAAAATGAGTTTATCAAAATATATACCAGAAGAATGGACCCTTTTTATGTACAGTTAGAAATGTGTCCTTACACTATAAAAACAAATTTGAGTCAATGCCCACTGCTCCTTTTACTAGTACAAAAGAGGAGCATCAAACAATATCACTTCTTTTGAAAAAAATTAAGTATGAAGAACAAGAGTGGGTTATTTGTATTAATTTAAAAATGGTAAACTGTCTGCATAGCAAAGTGGAGATTAAAAAACATCCTTGTTTTTTTGTCTGTAGAACAGCATAGCAAAAAATCATCACTGGGTTTTAAATAGATTGGCCTTTGAGGAAAACAAAAGATCACTTCAAATTTTTGTCTCTGCTGCTGGTAGTAGCTTTCAACCGAACATCACATGTATATTGGTTCCAATCCACAACTCCATGATCAATTGTGAATACTGAATACCCTATCAGTGTTTTAGCAGCTCAAATTAGTAAATCTCATAAGTTGAAGAAGCTCCTCCAATTACAAGAAAAATTCCTAGGATTTAAGTATATACAGAAACCTGTATATACAGAATATAGGAACCTACATACAGAAACAAATCATTCCATCAGAGAATAAATAAAAACTGGTATTAAAGACCTAATTTAAGATGCATTTTTACCCCCACTTTACTTTACAATTGAATGACAAAAATTATACAAAAAAAATCTTATTTTCCTATTTAACCTGTCAACACATATAAAACAACTTATTGATATTTTAACAGTTACACATTTTAAAAACAGATTATGCATTTTATATTCCTGCATACCTAAACATAATTTTTGTAAAAATAGTTTATTTTTTAATAACAGGGGAATTTGATCGCGATGTAGATTTTGATTTATCATTATTTTTATCTGTACCTGCATCTCCCCAGTCAGATAAATCATATTTTGATAGATCTTCGTCGTCATCTTCCTCTTCCTCCTCTTCTTCTTCATAAGCTTTCTCCTTTCTAATCTCTTTCTTACCTCTATCTTCCGTTTCTGAATTATGGCGACGCTTTTTCCTTCTACCAAACTCGTCATAGTCATCATCAGAGTCTTCTCGTTCTTTATATTCTACAACACCCCTATCGTTATAACCTCCGCCGAAGCCTGTCCTTTCTTCAACTTCTCCAAACTTAGGAGCGTTGCAAACGTTACAAGACTGCCGCCTCGCCCAGTTTACATTACCGCATTTATTACACTGCCAATCATCAGCACTGAAGAGACCCCTGCTTTTTTCAGCAGCAGCTTTACCAATTTCAGTACCTAATTTACGTTTATTACTTGCAGCTATGCTATGAGACTTACTTTTTCCGCATCTATTACAAGTGCTCCTACGGGCAAAATTAAAATTTGAACAATCTTCGCATAACCAGTCCCCATCACTTGCATTCTTTAGGCTTGGAGGTGGAGGTACTTCCAGCTCGGTGTCAGACATCGCGATCTAAAACAAATAATAATGCTAGATATCATGATTAATTAATTTAGTTGCCTACACAAATTGTATTTAATGTTCAGAGCTAATAGAAATTTCGATAATACGTATATCAGATTTTATAAGTTTACAAACTACTTTATATATCATTATTCCAATCAAGATCACTAAATCTTCCTTGAAGATCCTTTATACCTTTACAAACAATAAAAGATCTAATTTGTCTTAAAAATACGAAAATTTGAGCTGCTTAAACTTTGCTACGACGATGTTGGTATAATATTGTGACAATTAAGACATATGACATTTACCAATACGAAATTTGATTAACAAGAATGTAGCCTTCTTCGTATTCCCTGACCAGCTACTGCCTAATGCTTGTATTTGTCAAAAATTACTAAACTAAACATATACAAACAAAATATTTTTTATGTTTAAAATCAATTAATTCTAAAATTATGTTTTTATTAGGTATTTTGTTAAAAGTGATAGTTTTGCCTGGCTGTAAAACTATATAAATTTAAACAATCTTTCTTCTTTCTGTTTAACCTCTTTATTTACAGCACACTCCTAAGTAGCAGTGCCAGTTCTATCTTCTGATCTTAACAAGTAAAACGACGATTGACTTGTGCCAGGGTGCCTAACTATATATATATATATACATGGCGGTAAATTCAAAAGGCACGTAAAATTACGTAGGATTGTAAACTCATTTTAAAGTAAGATAAGGTACAAGGTACAATCAACATAATCCTAAAATAACAACAAAACCTGTGACAACACCCTTATTCTATATGATAATTATGTATTATATATATTTTGGTTTTATATACTATTTGTGTTTTCTTGTTATGTTGAGGTTATATTTTATTTTCAATTACAATGCCAAAGTGGTTAAAAAAATTAAGGAATAAAGTAATATCTTTATTTATAAAAATGTTACAAGAAATATTAATAATACAAGCAAGTGTAATATAATTTATTGTTCTTAATGTTGTAACAAAAACTGGTCAGTATTTAAATAATTGTTTTCGCATTCTAAAATTCTAATGTCAAGTTTTATGTGAATACAAGCCTGGTCTTGGTGTTCTTACCTGGTCCGCTGGTCGTGGTAAAAACAAACTTAAAACGGCTGTTCACTTAATGCCCATATGTCTTACTTTAATTATATCCTCATCCCTTTAAAATGACAAGAGAGCATACATGAAAATTGTAGTTTCTGTTGTAGCCTTCTCTAATTTAGGACTCTTAACAGCATTCACCCATTTATTAAACATATCTATATAATTTCGTGGGCTTTAGACAACTGCATTATTTGCTATGATAGCAGTTGCTATCATATAAAGAAGTATCCATGATACTTGTAGCAAAGAATATAGACGTTTATTCTACATCACAGATTATCTACATTGTCTACATTCTTTGCTTGTAGTATCAGTCTCCATGCCATCTGAATAATCTGGAACTGAACGGGAACCATAGATTGACTGGAACACAACTTTTTTGGCCAGTCCTTCATGTTTATATTTCCATGTAATGTGTTCGATTTCATAATTAAAAATCGTCTATTGTACATTTTTGCACTATTTATCAAAAATAAAATAAATAACAATAATGGCGTCTTATTCTTATCAAGCAAAGGAACCTCTCTTTCCTTGTCTAAGGAAGAAACGAAGGATGAAGGATTCTTGACATTGACATAAAGTGAAAACGAACAACGTGCAAGTGCGTTCGTAGTCAAGAACGAGACTAGCAGTACCACCAAACGGAAGGGTGCCAAATAAAAACGTGCGTTTTTTGGCTATCCTTGTTACCAATTTAGGTTTAATTTACTGTGCTCCTCATTGAAGTGAAGCTTGATTTTGAAGAAAGTAAACGTTATTTTTCGATTTATTCCACACACAGTACATTTATTTTTTGTTAAACTAGACTACTTCAAAAATGTCAAAAGCTCACCCTCCAGAATTAAAAAAGTAAGAATAAATATTTGGATAAATAGTAAATAATAACCTATTTGTTGTAGATATATGGATAAAAAAATGTCACTTAAGTTGAATGGTGGCCGGCAAGTTACAGGAATTTTGCGAGGATTTGATCCTTTCATGAATTTAGTAATTGATGAATCGATCGAAGAGTGCAAAGATGGATCTAAGAATAATATTGGAATGGTGGTAAATATATTTTCACTATATTAGCTTGATCAACATATATTTTTTTGTGGGTTCTTTGGTTTATATTCTATACATTATAACAACTTTTTTACGTTGTTGCTAATTAATGTTTACTCATTTATTTAAAACCCAAGATACTTTGGTACCTTAGTATCTAATTAGTACTATTGTGTCTCCTTCACATCATTTCACTATACATGTTCTTTGATATAAATATATCATTCTGAGAGTGATTCTTTATAATATTATTTTCTGCCCTAGTGTATATTTATTTTGGTCTATTTTGAGTTAGTCTCTTATTATTTTGTTATAATAGAGTTGTGAAGCCTACTGAAAGGAATCAACTCTATTATATGAACAGAAGAACAAAAGTAAAATCGTATAATACATCTATTAAATTCTTCCCTCATTATTTTTTATTGGAAATTAATCCAATCTATTTAAAACCACAGAAACATAATAAGTTATGTATGTGTTGTGATTGTGACTCTGGTTAGTGATTATTATGTGTTAATTCAACCTAAACTGTAGGTTTTTGTGGAGAAAATGTTATTAATTTATATTTATCTTATGTTTTAGGTAGTTCGAGGTAACAGTATTGTTATGTTAGAAGCACTGGATCGAATATAATAGGATCAATAATTTAATTTAAGTTATACTTATATATTTTTTTTTTCAATAAATCTTGAATGTGATTTTGAGTAAATACATGGATAATTTTTAGTTTTGGAAATATTTGAATTCAATTTTCATTTCACTTTTTATTGGTTTTCTCCTGTTCTGCCAAATGAAACCTTATACTTAATGGCAATATTAAACATATGCTAAAAGATTTACATTAATAGAAGGAAAACATATTTTTGGGAAAAGTCATCTTCATTGTTTTTCATAGTATTTGCATTTAAGATAATATACTTAGCTTTCAAAAAAATCAGTTGACAAAGCATTCATTAGTCAGAAATAAGTATCTCAGAAAAAACAGATTTTTGTATGCTTTCACTGTCTCAGCTGGAATCATAATGTCTAGCACATAGTTTGTTGTTGATTATTGGGCACACAAAGAAATCACATGGTGCCAAGTCAGGACTATGCAGGATGGACCACCTGTTTTATATTCTTCTCTTTTAAATGCGTAGATGCTATATGAGAATTGTGAAAGCTGGCATTGGCATAATGCAGAAAAATGCGATAAGTTAGGTTGTTTTTGCAGAGTTAATTATTTCTGCCAACAAATAGTTGTGTACTATTCAGTATTGTTGGTTTCAATATTATCTAAAGAAATTGTGACAACATGTCTCATTAAAAAAAATAAGTTATGACAGTTTATTTGCCAACACTTGGAATGAAGGCTACTTTTGGTGAAACACCCTTACTCTTTCACCAGTCACGATGTTCCCTATCAAATTTGAGCTGCTTCTGTTGAATTGTTGCATGTAATGTAGCAAATAAAAAATTCTTATGCGCTTGAACTTTTACATGCTTGAATTTTTCAAATCATTTGTGAACAGTTCAAGTTAATTAACACATTGTTTAGTTAGGCCAACTATAAAATCATTACATGAATAGTGTCCAGGTTTCTATTTTTTTCATGAAATTTATTGTTTTGAAAATTTGTGATGCTGCTAAAACATGCAATCGATTGATTTTCAATCTGTCAATTCTGTTGTTTTTTTGGGGCGGGGTAGGGTTTATTTTCAATATTTGAAACATAGTTAAAGAGTTATTTTTTGAAAAAATCTTTAATATAAATTTATTTATTCCATTGGTACATTATAGTTAAACATTTCAATCCTACTTTATGAAATTTTGTTACAAAAATATGCCAATGACAGTTAATTTTCAAAGATGCAAGAAAATTCACTTTGCAGTGTTCATTGTAACATAACTGCATCATGTGCTGTCAAAAAACCTAAAAGATTTCTTTAGTTTATGAGTTTCACTCATAAATGTCTATAACTCCATGAATTTTGCTCTGATCAATCTGAAATTTTAACTAAATACTCTTGAAAGGTTATACTATCGAATAAAAAATACCATACCCCCTTAACATAACAAGAAATGTCAAAATTTAACAAAATTATATTTATGAAGTCAAGTAACTTCAACCAGGTGGCTCTGTTCAAAACTTTTAGTGTATTCCTTGTAGATGCAATCTCAAAGGATTCTTTGATATGATTTTCTCCTTTGAAATAAGAATATCTTGACACCATTAGTGGAGCTGGGAAGAGTCATTTTACTCTAAGGAGTTTAAGATCAAGCATAATAGACACAATATCTTATAATCCTCGAAACTACCATAGAAGGAACTTTGAGATATTTCAATTATTAATAACCAAAAGTGTTTAAAATTATTTTTGACATTATTATAAGCATATATTAGCAAAAAAGCACCTAGTCATTTCATGATAGTTCATGATATATCATTTGGACTTCTCAATAAAAGGGAAAATTGTACAAATAATAAAATATTGATAAATGATAGTTATGTATTGTCATCATGTATATCAAATACAAACTTTGTCATTTAATAGTGTTAATAAAATATTTTAAAACCTGTTGTTTACTTATTAGTAGTGACATGCTCATATTACTACATAGAGTATTGGAAAAATAATTAATGAGTTTAGAAAATATGGTCGATAGTAAATAACAGAGACAAAGACCATTTACACCAAAACAGAATTCATATCGACCCATGCAACGAAGACTATAGTAACTAAAACAACGTTACATTTGACTTTACTCTTTTTGAGCTTTATTTGGTATAAAACAGAGATATGTAAAAAAAGTATGGTAACTCAGGTATAAATTTTAAGGCAACCAGTAATACATTTGCATTGTGTAGTAAGTTTACAGACCCTCAATTATGCAGGCGAAAAGTATAGTAAGTTGAATTACTGTAGTCTTCATTGCAAGAAACAATTTGACTTACTATAGTTTTCACCGTAATTGTTGGTTATATTTGTTACATACTACTATAAAGATTTGAAATTCCTAGCTGCTGTATCAAAATAGTTATTTTTGATGCGAATTAAAATGAAATCCATAACACAAAAAAGTTTGTACAATGGAAAAAACTTACGTGAAAACGAGTCATTAGATTCAGGTAAGTTTGATCTATGTTAATTTTATTTCTTATTTTCTTACAAACATGAATAAGTAATTTATAACCAGAAAACATTCACAAACAGTATGCCCTTCTAGCACATGTACATTACAATCTATAAGTATGTTGGTAGATTGCTTTTATTATGTATGTATTTAAACAGGTTCTTTTTTTTAGAATCCGGCGACTTTCCAATCACTAAATTTACTTGCGTTAGTGAAGTACCCATCGTATCAGATGCAGGAACCTGATCGTATGATTTAACTTTAGTTCTCAACAACCACTCTACAGACCACCATATCAGTGCTGATAATGCACATGCAGATATATCATTATTACTTGATATAACTGTTGATAACACCAACAAGTTTACTGGGAACTTGTCAGATAGTTCAGATCTTGTTCCTAATTATGAATCTGAACGAACATCAGATTCTGATTCATATAATATGCCAGATACTGACCTCAAAAGTCAAATTTAAGGTGTCAAGGTCTATAGAAAGTTTATACAAGTGGGTGGCTTGATGTTAAGGCTAAGAAAGATCTAAACATAGGCATCGAACACAAAAACCGTAAGGGTCAACTTATTCCTGCCAGACAGATGAAAAATCCATTCAAAGAAAACTGCAGAAATACCTAAATGTCGATAGAAGATAAGTGAGGGAAATAGATATTGTTTGACGAATTTTAGAAAAAAGTGATCACACTACAATAGACAATGGGAATACATAGCAAGATCCGTTAAGAAAGTGGATAAAACACAAGTGAGAAAAACAGACGACAATTCAAGAAGAAATTTCTCTAGAAAATATACACTGGCTCGTAACAATAACGACATACCGGTTTGCAGAGGTATGTTTCTCAAGACTTATGGAATATGCGAACAGTGGATAACAACCGCTTTAAGCAAAATTGGAAACAGTATCTCCCTTGAGACATATAGAAGAGGGAAGCACGCTACAAGACCAAATAAAATTAATGAAAGCATCTTAAACTCCATACGAAATCACATTCAACTTTTTCCTGTGGTGCCTTCCCACTACACCAGATAAAAGTCAACAAAAATGTACTTGGAGGAGAGTCTTAACGTTGGAATAATACATCGATTGTACTTAGAATACATGCAAGGAAGAAATGTTGTAAAAATAGGTAGGTACGTTGAGATAATACAGGGAAATTATTAATGCTGAGTTCAATCTTGCATTTTTCAAACCAAAAAAAGACCAATAATGCTGCCTTTCTACAGCCTATGCACTAGCAAGGCCAGATGATAAAATTAAACTAAAAGATAGATTGGATAAACACATTTCTAATAAAATAGCTGCCATAGCTTTCAAGGATGCAGATAAGGAAGCGGCGATCAATGATAAATCAGTTTGTGACGCTTTTTTCGATTTACAGAAAGTCCTCGTAACACCCCAATCTCCTGTGAGTGACTTTTATTACAAGAGTAAACTCGCCACATATAATTTTACAATTAATGATATGGGAAATAACAAAGGCTACTGTAATGGGTGTCACGAGGTAATTGCGAAAAGGGGAATAAACGAAAAAGCAGTTCCATTTTAAATTTTTTAAAACATAAAAAAAATGGAGTCAAAATATTCTGATAACTGTGCGGACAAAACCGCAACCGTTTTATTTTCTCATTCTTTTTCTATGCTTCTATGAGTCTTAATCTTCAAATAATTTATTGATTTCTAGAAACAGGGCATACACAAAACCAACGAGACAGCATGCAATGAATTAAACGATTCATTGCATTCCCATTTCTTCCTAGAGCCCTTCTCCTCCTTAGTCTAGAGCTCTATAACAATAATTTTTATGGAAGAATACAGTTTTGAGAAATCATGTTTGATCAAATTAAGATGACAATCCCTAATATTGTGCCTAATAGTTGTTCCAGTGATGACTGCTATTTTTTTAATGGCAATGTAAATAAACAAAATTTTCTCTATTGGAGTGACGAAAACCCGCATATTTCTTCGAGAAAAGCATATATAACGCATACCTATATAAAGTTAATTTGTGGACTGGTGTTCTCGGAAATATTATTGTTGAGCCTTAATCTATTGAAGACAATTTGACAGGAGATCCTGTTATAACTGTCTCTAGAAACTCAAAGGTAATTTAGTCCTATAGGAGAATCGTTTACCTTTCCAGCAGGACGATGCTTCACCTCATGAATCTCTTCCTGTTTGACAGTGGTTTAACGAGAGATTTCCGAAGATCCGAGATGGATTAACAGAAAGGGGGCAATTGAATGATCTCCATTAACATTCACGGAGTTAAATTCTTTTTTTATAAATGTCATGAATATGTTTTTTTATAAAGCACAACCGGACGATATGGACGAACTTATAAAACGATTTCGTTATCGTTAAGTAATTCTTGGCGGTGGACTTCCGTTTCGGAATACGAACGTATTGCAAATGAATAAAAAATCTAAATCGTAGTAATTTCAGATATTAAGTATTACACATATCAACAATCGCCATTAATCAAAACCTTATGTAGCTCTTTTTGTGAAATACGTTATCTATTAATATTCCAGTGATATCATTTTACTAACATCAAAAAATGTTTCTATTCCTTTA